AATAATTGCACCTGTTGCTTCCATTTCTTTCATCAGCATGACAAGAGGCATCACCGTTCAACTTTACATACCTTGGATTAGGTGCTTGCACTCTTATTTTCAAAGAAAAGAAAAAGGTGCTTCAGCTCTTCCTATGTTCACTGCGGACGAAACCACCAGAGGTACCACATGTTGCCTACCGTGATACAATAGTGGTGATAGACATCATAGTCGCATACTACCCCACAATCTATAATAGATATAGCATTTAGTAGATTTGTAAAAAAAAACCTTGCTTTGTTTGTTTTATTTCACTTTTTTAGCATGCACGTATATAAATGTCATTCTGCTTAGGACTACTGATATTTTTACACAAATTGTCGACAACACAATGTTGTAAGGCAGAGGTGGGAAGGATACTGTCTATCCAATGTCGTCCTCCCCCGCCTCTGCCCTAGAATTCAACACACAATGTTGTGCCTTGTCTATCCAATAGAAGGTATTGTCTCCCAAAAAATATACACACACATATTGTAAAAAAGGAGTGGGCGAAAAGATTCAATGAATTTGGAGTAGGATAGTATGAGCTTATAATTGTACTATCCTTCAAATTCAATAACAATATGGGTCTCTCAGAAACCATCAAGATATCTTCCCGAAAATATCTAGAATATAACACACGAAAGAAGAATATTGTAGATAATGAAAATAGATAAGAAAATGAATCATGTACACAGAGGATATACTATAACACATGGAATCACTATGAATCAAATAAAACACTATGAATTCAAACCAACAGGAACATCAACCTGCACACATGTAAGAACTTAATAAAAATTAAGTGAATGGAAGGTCTGTATAGCAAAACCATATTTATTTTATCTTCATATTATTTCTTAGGAAGGCATGATATTGCTCTACTGTTGTTAAATAATAGTTACGTGGTCCGCCAGGGAACTTAACAAAAAGTTAGGAGGCTCATCGACCTAATTACAAAAATCCTGATTAGAAAATCAAAACCTAGCTATTTCATGTGCTGCTTCATTCACTACCCTCGGATAATGCACATACTCTACCTTCCCAACCGATCCGGCTAATCCACACAATTTACGTTATCTTCCCTCGAATAGTGCACGATCGCTACCTTCCCAATTGATCCAGTTGCTAATCTACAAAAACCGTTGTGTCTTCATTCCAAATAGTTCCTTAGAGCATCTCCAGCCGCCCCCCAAGTGCCACCCCCAGGTCACTTCCTCTGCACCGGCACCGTAAAAGGGGCAAAAAACGGCCCAGTCATTCCCCCCAAGCGCCCCCAAGACCTCGTACTAGCGCCAGCAAACCCATCCCAAACCCAACACGCTGGGGGGCTCCTGGGGCGCCGGTGGAGGCAACGGCCAATCCTACTCCTCCACGCATTCTTTTTCCTGGCCCACCCAATCACCTTTTGCCCCGCGATTCTTCTAAGGACGCCAACGACTAGGAACACGGGTTCTTGGAGGCGCCGGCGGAAGCGTTTTGCCCTCCAGGACATGCTATTTTTGGTCCGGCGATTGTCCTGGGGGGCTCCAACGGGTGGAGATGCCCTTAGCCTGCACATGTCTCTCCATTTCAGTGACATCTAATTAAGTTTCAACCGCTATGTGTTGTCACATTTTCTAGGGCCAACCCATCCCTTAGAGCATCTCCAGCCATTCGCCCCCTAGGGCAGTAAAAAAAAGTCGCCTGGGGGCGAACCGGCGCAAGTTTGGCGCTTGGGGCGACTCGGTCCACAGTCGTCGCTCACCATGTCGCCCTGAGTTTGGCGAAATTACGTAGAAACTTGTGCAAACTCGGCGATCTGGTACGAACTCGGTGAAATTTCATTGAAATTTGTACAAAGAAAAGTAAAACATGCAAACTATGGCAAACTACCGCCAACCACTACGCCTCTAGCCACTACGCCGCGTCCACCACCCGCCATCTACATGCCGAGAAGCCTGTAGAAGCGGGTGTAGTCGCCGCCGCTGTCGTCGTCGTCGTCACGCGCCCCGCCGAGGCCACCCCCGTCCCTTCTGCAACCCTGCCCAGGGTCGCCGACGCGCAATCGGGCGCTGGACGGCCCCGCCTCTTCCTCCTTGTCGCGGCGGTGAGAGATGGACGACCGCGTCGGGTACTCTACGCGCGGCACGTTGCCGGTCTCGATGTGGCCGAGGACGGCCTCGAGGGTGCGGCCGGGGACGCACCACCACTCGTGCCGTCCTTCGGCATTGAGGCGGCCGCGAGGAATGACGCCATTGACGAAGGCAATCTGCTCCTCATGGCGGCGCTCGAAGTACATCGCCCACATCGTTTCGCTGTCGGGCGCGTACTTTGGCTCGTTCCGTTGCTCCTCCGTCAGCGAGGAGCAGATGCGGGCGATCTCCGCCAATCGTGTCGCCCCTTCGGGCCCCGGCGGCACCGGGACGCTGCCGGCGCTCAGCCTCCACGCCCCCGGCATGCGCATGTCTGGGGGCGCCGGGTACTCGGCCTCGTAGAGGAGGCGCGCCTCCGACTCTTGGAGGTGTTGGCGGCCGAAGCCGTTCGCCGCTGCACCATCGCCTGGAAACGTCTCGGCCATCTTTGCTTTGCTCGTTGGCGGGAAGGGGGAGATGACTTCTTTTGCGAGGGTGGATCCAGGGGGAGGTTGTGGCGTTCACCGGTGGGGAGGGGTCGCCTTTTATAGCCCCAGCGGGGCGGCGGCGAGGCTGCATGCCAGGCGACACGTGGCGGGAGCGGGCGGGACACGCGTCGGCGGCGCCTTCACTGCGCCGCCCGTGAGGTATCAATGGAGGCTGACCGGCGCGGCAGCACGGCAGCCTTGGCCAGCCTTGGCATTGATTCCCGCGGGAACCAAGGCGATGAGGGCGACGAAGCGGCCTCTCGCTGACTAGGCGGGCCCGCCCCCGTTCGCGCCAAAACCGCTTGCCCCGGCGCCCCCGGGCGCCCCCAGCGCACCGGGTTCGGTCTGGGTCCGCCGGCACTAACTTCGGCCCAAACTGGCAAAAAACGTGCTCCTGGGGGCACGACTGGGCCGTTTTTTCAGTGCCGGCGCGAAAAAATTGCCTTGAGGAGCCGTGTTGGGGGCGCGGCTGGAGATGCTCTTATAACTTGTGCTTCCGCCATTGTCACCCTCGAGACATATGGTAGGAATGAACACAAGCCTGCCATGAATACTCTCTTCACACCCTTTAATAATTGCACTAGTTGATCCCATTCCTTCGTTAGCATACAATATAAGGCATCAATATTCAACTTGATGTATCCACATTCAATTTTCTTTGCATCGATTGTGATCCGCAATACTATCGGAGTAAAAGAAGGGATCTAAGGAAGAATGCAAGCTAAACTTTTTGATTTTTTATTAGTAATAAGTAAATATTTTGTTTGGAGGTAAGAAACTTGCGATATTGAGGGGATAAATACCAACTAATCAAGAGACATGAGACAATCCACAATATGCTAGTCCACAATCGAACATGGAGCAAAACTTAGATTTGTACCAAACTTGCTTGGTTTGGTTTAATTTATTTTTTAGGGTGCTCAAATACACCCTATGTCTTAGTGCCACTTTAGTGAATTCTCAATTTATTGAATGCAGTTATAACTTATCTGTTACCATATTCAAATGATGGTTTATTTTTTATTTGACATTGCCAATTTTGCTTTTAAGGAATCTACCATAAAAGATGGACTCTAAGAAAATTCGGACACAAATCAATACTATAGTGTCTTACTAGACTAGATAGGACCTGCACAAACGAGAGGAGATGCGGAGATTGTGATTCATTACCTTGAATTTGGATAAGTGGTTGGCTTGTCGCTCAACAGCTGGCGTTCGACGACCAATCGATGGCGGAACGCCGAACATGAGAGACGAGATTGTTGAGTGTTTTTATGAAGCGGTTCAGCGAAGAGAGAGGCGGGTGCCCAGTACTCGTAGAAAATTGACACACAAACAAACCTAGGCAGTTCCCTTGTTGTGCGCTTTTGATTAGCTAGTACCTGGGATCTTTTTTTTTCTGTTTGCCGGATCCTGATTTGATGGGTTCAGCCATGACTTTCTGTTGGATTCATAAGAAAGAAATACTTGTATGCATGTAGCGCCACCGAAAAATTGTTGGGTTTAGGCTCCGCCGCTCATTGCTTAGATCTCATGATTCCTAAGAAAAACCATTATTTGACCCATTTCTTTCTTTAGTTAAACGGCAGCTTGGTTTTCCAAGCAGCTGTGTTATTCCAAAGAGATTTTTAATTAATTGAATTCAGTTATAACTTATATGTTACCATATTCAAATAATGGTTTATTTTTATTTGACATTGCCAATTTTGCTTTTAAGGAATCTACCATAAAAGATGGACTCTAAGAAAATTCGGACAAAAATCAATACTATAGTGTCTTACTAGACTAGATAGGACCTGCACAAACGAGAGGAGATGCGGAGATTGTGATTCACTACCTTGAATTTGGATAAGCGGTTGGCTTGTTGATCAACAGCTGGTGTCCGACAACCAATCGATGGTGGAACGCCGAACATGAGAGACTAGATTTTTGAGTTGTTTTATGAAGTGGTTCAGCGAAGAGAGAATTGACACACAAACAAACCTAGGCAGTTCCCTTGTTGTGGGCTTTTGATTAGCTAGTGCGTGGGATCCTTTTTTTTTTTCTGTTCGCCCGATCCTGATTTGATGGGTTCAGCCATGACTTTCTGTTGGATTCATACCAAAGAAATACTTGTATGCATGTAGCGCCACCGAAAAATTGTTGGGTTCAGGCTCCGCCGCTGATTGCTTAGACAGCTCATGATTCCAAAGAGAAACCATTATTTGACCTGTTTCTTTCTTTAGTTAAATGGCAGCTTGGTTTTCCTAGCAGCTGTGTTATTCCAAAGAGATTTTTAATTAATTGAATTCAGTTATAACTTATCTGTTACCATATTCAAATAATGGTTTGTTTTTATTTGACATTGCCAATTTTGTGTTTAAGGAATCTGCCATAGAAGATGGACTCTAAGAAGGTGCTTACTGATGCTAGTCTAACCGATGACCTAGTGGTGAAAATCCTTTCTCGGGTGCCTTTCAAGTCTTTTTGCCGCTTCAAATGTGTTTGCAAGGCCTGGCTTGCCTTCTCCTCGGATCCACACTACCGTCAGAAACTGCCAAAAATTCCCACCGGTCTTTTTCATGGATGCAAAGGTGGGTCTGTTGCCCAGCTTGTTAGCCTGTCACGAAATGATGAGGAAATTGATGGAGGACTTACGTTCTTGCCGCACCATGAGCATTTAAAATTTGTGGATTGCTGCAATGGCCTAGTTCTTTGTAAGTACAAGAGCAACTATATTCCTCGAAATATTTGCCGCTTCATCGTGTGCAACCCTGCAACACGAGAGTGGAGGACGCTTCCTGATACTCACCCTGACCCTTACACAATGGGTTACACATATAAAGCTTTTTTGGCCTTTGATCCATCATGGTCAGCACAGTTCTATGTCTTCAACTTTCAGGAGAAGTTTGGCGAAATGCCAATTGGTATCAACAAACTTGAGGTGTTCTCGTCTGACCTATCCACGTGGATTGTGGATGCTGCATGGAGTTCGCGTATATAGATTTTTGAACCACACCACTTTATAGGAGGAGTACTATGTGTGCACACAGCAGAGGGTGACATTCTAGTGTTGGAGGCAATGGGTTCTGGCATACCGCCCCGTCATTTTATCACTGAGTACCGTTATTATGTGGCATGCTACTCAAAACTTCCAGGCTGAGCCATGCACGTGATGCGGTGAGTAGTAGCAGCGTCTCTTGTGTGCAACTTTTATATTTTATTCTCGTCCGTGCGGAGCTGCATGTGTATTTCTCTCCTTTCTAAGACATAGACAAGAAACTTGTTACTTTATCAGGGTTCAAGTTTACAACCCTGTTAATGTTGTGGATGTTTGTGTATGTTGGTAATTGGCGCGGAGACACAATTATAGAGAAAATTGGTGTTGCAAATGAGATTAACTGTCTAACCAGTAACCAGGCAAGCTGCTTGGCTAAGCACACGTCATGCATTTTCTTACCAGGATGTTACCGCGTCAGGAATGTCTTCTTTGTTCGTTCAACATATCTTGTGCTTGCATGCCTTGCTTTGTGGACGAAAAGAAGGTAAGCAAAGGAGATGTGCAGTGTGGAGAATTCACTTGCACTCTTAATTCTTTTTGCTTCCACACTTACATTACATGCAGTTGTTTCCTACATATATGTACAACTTCATAAGCAATTATTTCCGTTAATAACCCTATGTGTTGGAGCACTCTTGCCTTTTTTCTTTTCTTTTCGTCCCCTGCTTATCATCGCTAGAACTATGTATTTAGATTTGTTACGTTATCAACAGTGATCCCGTGGCACAATGGATAAGGTGTTGGCCTACGAAAAGTTGCACCATCTTGCACCCCCTTGAACTTTAGGGCAAAAACACATGATTAGAATACCATTTTTTTTCAAATAGGTTCGAGTGGGTGCAGATGTCCTATGTAATGTACAAATGATTTCTTAGAAATTTCCTACGACATCTTTTTTTAGAGAAAAGGCGACGGCCGAGCCCGAGAAAAGGCTCGAACCTAGCCCGACTTTGAATTAACAAAGCCATCAACCGGCCAGGATTACAACGAACAACTTACAAGGAAAACGGCAAAGATACAGAGTGCTAGATCAACTCAGAACCTAATAGCATTACAGGCAACTGAATAGGAGAAGGAGCCCAACCTGAAATGCCAAGGCCAAATGACTAGAATTGCGGCTACACCAACATCAGAGTGAGAACAACAAGCAGCACCCACATCGGTGACCATCACCATCGCCTACTCCCGCAGAACCTGCCAGGACGCCATCCGCTTCAACCTCCGAAGAGGACCACAATCCTCTCGCCCTGGCTCGAAGGGCGCCGTACCGTCGGACGGTAGAAATCTCGCCGAGAGCCGCATGGACAAAACCAGCAGAGCATCCCGGGCAGGAACCAGAGCTCGAACCACCTCCGCGGGACTCCCGTGACCTCAGCACCGAGCACCGCGAACCGCCCATCTAGACACGAGTTGAAGAACGATACCACCAGACGAAGACCGGCGCAAGAAGATGAACATGAAGCCGCCACCATCCGCCCTCAAACAAGCAACAAGTGCCAACCTTGCATCCACGCACCCCAGACGACGCCTCCAGGAAGGGATGCGACGACAGCACGCCACCGCCGTCCGCAAGGGGAACGAGAGCTTTCGCCACAAGGATGCAAGGTGGCCAGTGGGAGGGGACCTCGACAAGGCCTCCAAGGAGGGAGCCGACACCAAGAAAATGGTGTCGTCAATGTCGTGGCCGCCGTCGATGACCAAGAGTTTCCCCCGGTCCCGCTCCACACCCCGCCCACACGACCAGAGGAGCGCAAGCCAACTGAGAAGGGCGGAGGTCTTCATTAAAAGCAGGAAAGCCGGCCGACGGGGCGCCCCGCTACGGCAGTACACGTCCGCCGCAACCTCGCCGCCCACACGACCGAAGTCACGGGCTAGCACCCACAGACGCCGCTCGCCGCGGAGACGGCGCCGTCCACACGTTCCGGGGCCGCCGCCCCGGCATCCAACCACTAGGCACATCACATCTGCAGCCCGCCGACAGCCCCGCCAGCACCACCAGGAACACCACCGAAGCCACCAATCACCTCCCCATAGAACATGGATGCGTCTGCAGCGACCTCACCAGCCAGATCCGGCCGGAAATGAAGGCCAGCAGCCGCCAGAGCCCCGGATCCGGCGACTCTAGGGCGGCCGCGGCAAGCCTGAGCAGGTGCAGGGCCACCACCCTGGCCCGATGCGAGGAAGCCGGATCTAGCAGCCCGCCGCCACCGGAACCACCACCAGCGCCGGATCCGGCGGATGGGGTGGTGGTAGGGGCAACCGACGAGGCACGCCGACGCCTGAGTCGAGGAAGGACGCCACCGCAGAAAGGGGAGAAACGGGAACCACGCCGGCGGCCAGGGGCGCGAGAGGGCAGACCAGCGCAGATGGCGCAGGGAGGACGCCCCGCCGCCGCCGACCACCGCGCGGGCCAAGCCCGGCGACGGCCGCCGGCAGCGGCGGGGGAGGAAGAGGAGGACGGAGGTCCTGTCGCGGCGGCAATCCACCAAAATATCCTTTCAATGAAAGAGGTCCTAAGAGTACATGTGGTTCCTTTGTTCATAACTTTTAAATGTAATGGCTTTTAACTGAAACGACAGGTTACCACTAAATAGCAGCAATAGTCAGCACAACTTCTCTGTCACATTAAAGCTGGACAGCATCAGTAAACCTCATTTCTAAGCTGTACAACATAGTCACCCATGATGATCTCGGTGTTTCCTCCAGGAACCATTACAGCTCTCCATTTGTGCTGATTATGAGATATGGTGTAGCTTCCTGATCCACTGCTTAACAGTTAAAATGCTTCAAGATCCCATGAAAAAACATTCTTATTCGATATCCCGAACAACCTTATTGTCTTTTTTTCAGAGTGCGCACGTCACAACAAAGACAACGATACCCAACATTACATTTTTTTTTCTTATTATAATTACCGAGAACCTCACATCCGATGAAGTTCATAAAGAACAAACCCACTGTATTCAGGTTCAGTTCGTTTCATTAGTACCCTGCAGGCGCAAAACGTTACTTTCAGCGGGAAACACCAGTCCTCTAGCAAGTGACAACGTCGAGGGGACAGAGAGGTGGTGGCTAGGGTATGGGTCCTTGCACGAGTTGCCCTTGGGAGAGGAACACGGAGGGCTCCCTACAAAGAAAAAACTCTTCAACCAGCGGAAACCAAGTTATAGTAGAGATCGACACAAACCCTGTAAAAATCTTCTTTATAAGTTCTCAAAGAATCTTCAAAAGATACATTATATTGGAAAAGTGACGTTCTATAAACATGTTAATTCCAAATTCAAATTCAAATCGTACCATCAAGGGGAAATGCACTATTGTTATGCTTGGGTTAGGTTAGCTGATCAAGGAAATATTTTTATTGGAAGAACAATCAGAAAATACTAGTAACCATGCACGTGCAACGCACGTGTTCACCAACAAATATAAACTTGACCATGCTGAAAGGAATGGGAATTTAAATTTATAGTTGAACATACGAATTTTAACATTCCTTTCAAAAACGAATAAATACATGTGGGAATGCCTACTGCATTATGGTTCATAGACAGCTTGTGGAGGTCTCAAAAGAAATACAACATTACAAACTGTAGGCTCCTCGTAGAGAATGATCACATATACTGAAGAGGCATCTAATGTGAAAATCAATGAGGTTACATTTACTTTCAACGTACTATAAATACAATCCACCTAATAGGAGTACCCAACAGATTGCAGACAGGGCAGTCATGTGTGGCAATGACCTCAGTATCCATGTCATTGCTGTCGGTGGGCACAACACAATAGCTGGTGGAGTTTCTGTCTCCCGTGCACCACACAATCTCTGTTGATCCCACTCTAAGCTAAGCTTGCCCAAAATCACAATTTGGTGGAGAACATTGTTGTATCATCGCTAATGTCTGAATTAGAATTTAAGATATCCGTCTTGCAAACAGAATAATTGGCTTCTCTGTTTCCATAAAAAAAGGTAAACACAATCCATCATTGTGTAACTGCAACTACCAACACTAGGTCATAATGGATCGGATTCCATCATGGTGACAGAGGCAATTTAACCAAACAAAAATATTACATGGGGAGGAACTGGAAAGTATAAAAGTGTATGGCTAATAATCCATACTTCTGATCAAACTGCACAAACCCGCGCTGTTTCCCAACTGCAATCTTCACAACTGGGAGAAGGTTTGCTTAAGATCATTTTCACTAACATTTCGGTCAAGCCAACCGATAAACACCTAATGATAATTAAACAACGATAATAAAAGAAAAGCTATAACAATGTACATTGCATAAGTTACAGCCAATGCATCTGTACTCACAGTTCTGTTTGTTCAAATCTCTGTCTGATCGAGAGGATGAACCAATAGACCCGAAAGTACGTAAGCCAACAATTTTCCAGTAAACAGAAATAAACAGTCACAGCTATGCAAACAACATTAAATGATTCCTGTAGAATTTTTTATTCAAAAAAATTGTTAATAGCAATTCATAGGTTCTCAGATTTTTTGACCAATCATTAATATTGTCAAAAATATGAAGCTATGTCATTTTTCACCAATACAAACCCATTTTCCAAAAAGGTAGTGCATAAAAGCAGCAAGGAATGAATGTAGAGCAAAAACAATTTTGTACATAAATACTACGAAGTGTGAACTATATTCTGAACGAATCTCCCTCCCAAACAATTTATGAATGGAAACAAGTCTAGATGCGTGATAAAGCAAAAAGCCATAGCCCTTTGATCTACCAGTGTTAGCATCAATAACAACTTTTGCACCTTTGACAGAGGAGTACCTGCTGGAGAAAGTCTCCAGCAATGCAGCATCATTGACATCAGAGGCAAGATCGCCTACAAATATGGAATTATCTGAAGCAATGTCCGACTCCAAACTCATATCCCGCATGCTAAATGATGGCCAGCTTATCCTAAAAAGTTGATCAGT